AAGCAGGCTCCCCGCCGAGCAGAGAGCCCAATGCGGGGCTCGATCCCAGGACCCTGAGATCATGACCTGAGCCGAAGGCAGCGGCTTAACCCACTGAGCCACCCAGGCGCCCCATTGGATGCATTTTAAATGGGATGGCATGAATAAGGGGCAGGGAGGGGGCTCTTAGCAAGGCCTGATAGGTCGCTCCTGCTTCTGCAGGGCTAGGACAGAGCCACAGCCCCTGCCCCAATATTGCTGTCATGCATGCGTCACCTTCCCCTGCTCAGAAGCCTGGGCCCACAGTGCAAGGAGGCTGTCCAACACCTGTGGCGATGGGGCTCTTGCCCAGGGCTCCCCAGGCTGGAACTCACCCGCCGCCTGGTCCTGCTGGCCCTGAGGCCGATGAGGGAGGGGCTTCTCGTTCCCTGGCCCACCGTGTGTTCCTTGCTGACCCAGTTGCTGCCGTGGAAGCTTCGTCTCCAGGAACCTGAACAGGTGCCCTGAGTAACAGCTCTTTTTGTCGAGTAAGAAGTCTTTTTAGAGGTGGCTTTTATATGTCCAAGTATTTAGCCAGCTGTGTCGCCGAGGGATTAGGATCACGGTCACTGTGTTGCGGGCCAACAGGGATTTGTCAAAAACTTCATTTACTGCAGGGTCTGTGCAGATTAGTTTTCTCTGGCCGCATTGGGAATGTGACAGCTTCAGTCCCAGACCACACGGGCTTCTTCGGGGTTGGAGTTTGCTGGTGTCACGAGAGGTGCCTGTAGTGCATGGGCTTGTTCTGCTGCTCCCGCTGCTCTCACTCCAGAGCCGTCCTCAGTCGTGGCTCTAGATGGCGCTTCCATCACCCAAGATGACATCGCGCCTGCAGTTTCCAGGACAAGGGCAGGGTGAGCAGTAGAAAATGACGAGGAGGCCGAGGCTCCCCGATGGGCCTGTGTTGGCCCCAGGGTTGTCTCATTGCCAAGGTGCTCTGCCTCTTGGTGAGATGCTTGAATGGGCGTTTCCCTAGGACAGAGCTAGATGGCAGGTGGACACGTCCTCCCCGAGCTCATGAGTCGAACACCCTTCTGCTTCGTCCTTTCAGGAGGCCGTGAATGGCTGAGAGCTTTGGAGCAAGGAGTGAGTCCGTCCAGATCCAGAGGGGTTGAGGACAGCCCCTGCAGTCCTCAGCTCCGGGGTGTCCTTTCAGTAAGTCGGGCGAGCCTACCAACAACGGGCCTCACCGTCTATCTTGATTCGCAGGCCTGGGACCAGGGGTCTGCGGCTTCTTAGCGATCCCGCCCTGCCTCTGGATGTCTGCAGCTCCCATCTCGGAGGGCCAGGTAAGGGTCCTGCACCTCGGCCCCCGCCTGGTGCCCTGGGAGGAGGCAGCCGCATCTGCATGGTGCCCCCGTCCGCACAGTGCCCCCGTCTGTTGCAGACCCGGTGTTCTGGAACATGGCACTCCAGCGTGCCGTTCTCCTGGTGGGCCTCCTGGTGGAAGTTGCCAGCAAATCCTCGGAAAGTGCGGTAGGTGTCCCATCACCCAGGGGCGTGAGTGCCGGGAAGTGACGTCGGAGTCCTTTCTGGAGGCAGTGCGCCCTGCACCCAGAGGGGCCTCACCCTTCAACCTTTGGGGGTCACCGTTGCCCTGGCCCTGGGGACAACTGACTGTGGCCACTCTCGGGGTCAGAGAAGCCTGTGCCTCCTGGAGAGCAGCAAACACATGTTCCCCACCTGCCACCCACTCTGTTCTGCCCCCAGAACCTTCTTATTCTCTTTGCCAAATGGATCTTGTTGCTGGAGCTAGAAAAGGGCCTCTGGCACTGAATGCGGCCTGCAGGCTGCCTGCCCAGCTCGGGGTGCGGGGAGACTGTGTGCTCTGGGCAAACGACAGCGGCATCAGGCAAGGTCTGCCCCAGGCCTCTTGCGGCCAGGTGTCCTTGCTCCCCCCGGGCCGGTGACACAGGTATGCTGCGCCCGGCCGTGTCCGCGTCCACCCAGCCACACATCATCCAGGCCTTCCAGAGGATGGGGACTTCCAGCCACTCTGCCTCTGCCAAGGGCGGGGCAATGGGATGGCTGGAGTGTCCCTCGTGGGCTTGACCTCAGCCATGAACTGGCCTTGGACCCCTCCTGTGGTGGTGTGGGAACTCCACACCATTCCTTAGACACCCCTCACTGCTCCCTGTGTTCATCATAAGAAACAAAAGTTCAGCTGTGATAGATACACACTGAGCCAAGCTTCCGCTGGGAACCGCTCAAGTCTGGTCCTATAAATGCCAGAGCTCAGCACGTCTGTTCCCCACTTGGAGCCTCCTTGGTACACGCAGCAGGCATGAGTTCCTGACCCACAGGCTGCCCTGGTCTGAGCACTTCCTCTTTGGGGACCCCCCCTGGGAACCCCTGCTGGAGGGCGGCTACAGGGGGCTGAGAATAGCACGGCCAGGACCTGTGGGGTGACTCCTTTCTGGGCAGCAAAGGGCAGACTTGCCTTACCGGGGAGGCCATGGGTGCATGGGTTTATCTTCATATTTTATTACAGTCTAGAAAAACATATGTTTCCTTTTCCTGGGAAGGAGCCCACATGTGGAGCTGGAGTGAGGGGTTTAGCATCTCTAATTGTTTAATTTTCAAAGCCGCCATTTGGCAGGTGGTGGGTAACGCAGGCATACCTTGTTCTGTCGCAGTTTGCAGACTGTACGCTTTTTACAGACGGAGGGTCTGGGGCCATCTGCTGTTGCGTACCCTGTGGGTGCCCTGTTTCTGCGGCATGTGCTCACGGCAGGGCTCACAGCAGGTGTCACAGCAGGTGTTCAGAGCAAGGTGCTCACGACAGGGCTCACAGCAGGTGCTCAGAGCAGGGCTCATAGCAGGTGTCACAGCAGGTACTCACAGCATGCCTCTGTGCCATGTGTGGGGAATCCTTGCAGCGGTTCAGGCTTCTTCATGACTGTCCTGTTTGTTACGGTGACCTGTGATCAGTGATTACGACCTGCTAAAATCTCGGTGATGGTCAGCATTTTGTATCGGTAAAGTATTTTAAGTTAAGCCGTGTACCTTGTGTTCTAGACACAATGCAGTTGCGCACTTCAGAGACTACAGTATAGTATAAATGTACCTCACATACACTAGAAAACAAAAAACTCACTTGATTCACTTTATTGTGTTCTGGAACAGAATCCACAGTATCACAGAGGTTTGCCTATAAATAATGTTTTGGGTTGAAGTGCCCCACCCTTTACCTGCTTGTGGTCCGTGGGGCTGAGTGGCGGTAGCTGTGCTCCAGACCCCAGAGACCGCCTGCAGAAGGGCCCAGCCCCAGCACGCCCAGCCCCAGCACGCCCAGCCCCAGCACGTCCTAGGCGAGGCCCGAGTGGTCAGCCAGGCGGGCAGTGGAGGACAGTGACTGCATAGACCAGAGCGCACCACAGCCCAGCAGTACCCTTCGGACCACTCCCTGCCCCACAGGTTGCCCCGCCCGGGCCTCTGGTCGGCCTCTCTGAGTGGGCCCCCAAGGGACCCCCTTCCTGGCTTCTGGGAATCTGCTGCTTAGGAATGTGCTTGTTTATTCCGTTGTCAGACACTCACTGGGGACCTCAAGTTCTGTCCCAGGAAGTGTCCATGTGGGGTGGCTAGGTGTGCCCCCCTCGCTCTGGCTAACAAGGGATGGTCACCCAATTCAGAATTTAGAAGAGGCCAGAGCTGTGGGCACTGGACCTGGCTCATGCAGTAACCTCTGCGGGTGCTGTTTTCAGCCTGGCCTACTTGTCTCCCTCGATCCCCCAGCCGTGGGGTCTGGGAGCTCACTGCTCTCTCCCCTCTAGGGCCAGCAGCCTGAGTGTTGTGTGGACGTGCTGGATGTCAACACCACCTGCGGGGGCACAAACCTGTGTGGTCCAGGTAAGCTGCTTTGCACCAGCCGACCTTGACCGGCGTTGGTGACGAGGCCAGTGCTCGCGCGAATCCTGTGGCGGTCCCTTGGCTGGTGGGAGCAGGCGGGCACACAGTCCCCTCAGGAAGGACACTGGGGGTGCCCGGGATGTAGGCGAGGGGCCAGGAGCGTGGGCAGAAGCAGCGGGAAAGTGACAGGACCCCAGCCGAGCCTCCTTCCCGGCTGGCTCTTGGTCTCTGGTGGGGAGTGTGTTTCCTCCTATGGCATGGGCGACCTCCACGTGGGGCCTCTGTCTCCTGCTTCTCGGGGACAGGAAGGGAGGCCAGGGCCCCTCTTGCTCCTGCTTCTTTTAAGGGTCTTCAGCTGGAAATATTTCTTGTGTGCAAGAGGCATATTGTGGTTTCCCTCAGTCCCCCGTTGGGAACTTTATTCCCAGAATGTTTCACATGTTAAAGCCAAGCTGGGGCGCCTGGGGGGCTCAGTTGTTAAGCGTCTGCTTTCGGCTCAGGTCATGATCCCTGGGTCCTTGGACGGAGCCCGCATTGGGCTCCCTGCTCGGCGGGAGACCTGCTTTTCCCTCTCCCACTCCCCCTGCTTGTGTTCCTTCTTTCGCTGTGTCTCTGTCAAATAAATAAAATCTTAAAAAAAAACCAAAAAAGCCAAACTGCAGAGAGAGTTGGATTGGAAGTTTGGAAGTTGTGAGATAAGAGACTGGCAAAGGGGGAGAAAAGGTGTTGATGGAACCGGAAGAAAAGCACGAGTGTGAGCTCACCGTCCCGCGCCTCGCCAGAGGGGCCTCTCGTCCGGGCGGCGGTCAGTCCCCCGCGGCGGGCGCGCCGGTGTCCGGAGCACGCGGGCAGGCAGGCCTCCCCGAACGAGGCCGCCGTGGGGTGCGAGCAGTCGGGTGTTGAGTAAGGGGCATTTCTTGGGAAACAAAAGAAAAATGTTGATGGTTGGAGCCAACTTGAAGTCTAGTTTTCCTGCAGGGCAGTCGGCTAAGTGCGCGCTAGACGTTGGAGTCGAGGCCGAGTCGGGGAGGGAGGACACAGAGGCAGGGTCTGACGAGTTCGGGCTCGCACCGTGAGTGTCGCTGCGGAGGCCGTGGGGCTGCTCGCGGACTTTCTCGGGGGCCCGCACGGGAGGCGGCGAGGGGTTTCTCCGGAGTGTGCGTCCTCACATCTGGCCGCAGCCTGCAGGTGCTGGGAAAAGGGCACTTTCAGTTCTTACTGATTCCAAGTCAGGAGGGCGGGAGGAAAGCGGAAATGTTCGTTTGGAGAGTCGTAGCCACGTGTTGGAGGAGACTGGGAGGTTTCAGGAGCCCCGCAGCGCACGGGTGGAGAACAGATCCTCAGGCACGATGAACAGCAGCGGGGTCTGACACAGGTGCCTCGCAGACGCGTCACCCCCACTCCTACCAAAGACCGTCACAGCGAGACATGGGTTTGCTCTTAGAATAAGTCCGGCCGCACACACGCGGCCACGTGCGTGCGGCGAGGACAGTGACCACTTAGGCTCTCTGAGTCCGCCCTGCTGGACCTTTCCACAAGGGACCCTAGATTGGACTCCCGAGGCCGGGAAGCCAAGCCAAGGACTGGCCATCAGACCTCACCTGCAATAGCTCTAGATTCTGGTGAATTCCTCTCTTCTCAAGGTCCCGATATCCTCAGTTTCCTGGACTTGCCTGGAAGTGACCTGGTTCACCCGCGAGGCTGAAAAGGCAGTAAGCCCGGAATCCGTAGTTTTTCAAAGGGGCTTCTTGGCTTCGTAACAAGCTCCTTGGTCTTTCTGGTCACCGGTGCTGGCTCTCTAGCTGTCCCTTGTCCCTGCACACAACAGCCCAGCCCGGGGCCTCCAGGAGGTCGGCAGCCCTGGGCAGCTTTTGCCCAGTTACCAACCCCGCACCCCGCTGTTCCCAGGTCTCTGGGCCCACAGCACCACAGGCCCTGCTGTGGTCAGGCTTCAGCCCTGCCATCCACTTGGTGTCCCTGCAGAAAGGCCTTCATCTCACGGTGACACACTGTGTGTGGATTAAACATCAGTAAAATTCACCGTGAAGGACGTGTGGCCTGTGGGTTGCCTCCGGACGCTGCCCCCGGCGCAGCTCTAGGATCAGGTCCAGCTCAGGGCCCGCACTCAGCGTTGATCCAGCATGTGTCTGCCCAGCCGCGGGGCTCAACGTGGGAGATATGAAGGAAAAATCAAGGTGTAAGACACAATTCCTGCCCTTAAGGGGTGCCCTGACTGGTCAGCAAAACGGATGGTCTGTAAACCGCTGGCCAGTGGGAGCCGGGCTGCTCCCAGTGCCAGGCAAGGCTGAGCTGCTTGTAGTGGCATCTCTCTGGGACCTCCCCAGGGATGGGGGCAACAGAGGGGCAAGGGGCACACCTGGACTGGAGACAGTGCCACCGAGGGGCATGGGCCTGGTCCCCTACGGCTCCTGTGGAGGCAGGGGAGGGCCCAGTGGCCGGGCTGCCGCAGTCCTCTCCAGAGCACAGGCCGCGCACGGCTCTTGCCTGTCTTGGGTTCCTGGGCTGTCCGAGGTATTTTACAAGATGTGCAGGAAAGGAGCCCACAGGAGCCCCGGGGGTGAGAGCTCTGTACGGCTCCTGTCAAGTGTGTCTTTTTCTGAAAATGAATGCGCCATTCCACCCAGGCTTCCAGAGCGAGCTAGTGAGCATTCTTGAATGAATTCTGTGTTTCACTATCTCAGAATACGGGCAAATCCCCAAAGGCAGGGACTGACGCACTGTCTCCTGCGCAGGCTGCTACAGGCACCGGAGCGAGGATGGCAGTGTCCACTGCGTCCGCTGCAGGAATGGTACCTACAGCTCTGAGTGCAGGGGCCGCCCCATGGCTCCCCCCGCCGGGCCCACCTGGCCTACTTCCCACCGAGGGGCTGCGTCTCCAAGTTCTGGAGGAACAGGTGGGACTTGCCCTTCTTGTCCCCACAGCCACAGGTGGCCCACTTTCCCTGGACCACCGTCCATTGAGGGGAGCCCCCCACCCGGTCCCCTCTCTCCCCAAGTCCTCTTGTCCGTGCAGGACAGCCGTTGGGTGAGGGCTGCTCTGTCCCCACGGCCTCCTCCCTTTCTGGTTTCCGGCCCGTGATTCCCCACTGCGCGGTGTCGCTGGCTCCCTGGGAATCTTCAGCAGCGTCCCTGTGCATGGTCTGGACCTGCCCCGGGAGCCAGCTGCACTGATGGCTCTGCTTCCCCACAGTCGCTGGCTGGGGCGCCCAGTTCCCGGTGAACCGGAGCACAGGGACGCCCGGGCAGCCAAATCTCGGTAAGTCTCTGGCTCACCAGGTGAGGGCAGGGCCTCTGCCCAGGTCCTGGTGGAGGAGGGGTCGCCGTCTGCTATTCCCAGTGCACGTGACCACTTACGCTGGCCTCAGCAGGGCCACCACCATGGCCAGGGTCCTGCTGCAGCCCAGGTGGGAGATCTGTGGTCAGGGACCCGCCTGACCACAGGGCAGGGCTGGTGGAGTCAGCAGCCCCTGGGGCTGGGGTCACTGGGCACAGGCAGGAGGCCCTCACACGTGCCCCTGAGCAAGTCTTGTGAGTGGAAACCCTGACAGCTGCGCACCTCACCCTTTGCCCCGGGCCTGGCCCACCCAGCACCCCAGTCCATGGGAGCTTAGGACGCTCAGTTGTCTGGCGATGGAACGGCGCCCTGAGGCCCCCTCACGCCCATCCCCTGAGGCTCTCCTGAGGGTATAGGGCTCAGACTGCAAACACCGCATGTCAGGCAAGAGCGCCCACCACAGCCTGGGCCTCATGGGGAAGACACAGTGCCCACCTCCTGCTCGCTCTGTCCTCAGCTCGCATCCCGTCCTGTCTGATGTGTGGCCCACCGGCCGTGGAGGCTCGGCCGTGCTGCAGGGGCCACAGCAGTCAGGGAGCAGGACCCGCCCCAAGAGTGGTTACCTCCTCTTCTCAGGTGACCAGGTCGTAATGTGGGCTGTGTGTCCCCCAGTCACGGTGCCTTCAGCGGAGGGTGTGCATGTTGGACCTGGCCTGAGGGCTCCGGCTTTCTGCACGGGTTTCAGGACCAGACGCAAGTGGCCTTGCGCTGACCTAGGCCACTGAGGCCGCCTCCAGGACAGCCGAGTTTTCGGGTGGGGTCGGCGCAGAGGGCCCCGACCTCCTGTAACACCGTGCTGGGTCTGCCAGTGGGGGCACCAGTGGAGGAAGGCTGGCAAGTCTGGTTCCAGAGCCCTTTTCCAGTGCAGCAAATTTGGGGCAGGACACGCCAAATCTACCAGGATTCATGCCCCTAGATTTCAACACAGCAGTGGTCGCACCTCATGCCTGTGTCTCAGGGTCGGAGAGCTGCCCCTCCACGGGCGTCTAAGAGCACTTGCCCCACAGTTACCCTCCAGAGCCCCCAGCCGTGGGCCCGCCCACCCATCCTGACCCCAGGAAGGCCGCCTAGGGACAGGGAGCCCCTGCCTGTGACTGAAAGGCTGTGACCGGGCCGGGGTGTGGGGCCCCATAGTCTGTGCCGGGGGAGATGGGGACCCCAGGGCCTGGCACCCTAGCCCTCAGCACCCCACCTCCCTGTGACAAGCCTGAGGCCTAGGGAGCCTGAGCCCCTCAGACCCCACAGCCAGGCGTCTGGGCCTGCAAGGGACCCGAGCCCCTGGGTGCGGAACCTGTGAGGGCACAGGCGTGTTCCGGGGACGGGGGTCTGGGGAGGCCCTCTGAGGCCCACCCAGGCCTGCCCAGGCAGCCACTCACTTTCCTTGCAGGGAGCCCTCAGGTGGCGGCCTCCCTCTTCCTGGGGACACTGTTGGTCAGCTCCGGCCTCATCCTCTCTGTGGCTGGCTGCTTCTACCTGAAGCGCACCAGTACACTCCCCAAAGTGTTCTACGGAAGAGGCAAAGGTACGCGGGAGGTGCCGGAAGGGTGCTGGGCAGTGCACACCCCCTGTGGGGCCCCGGGGCCTGCCTAGGGGGCACAGAGAAGCAGGGGCTGGGGCTCCAGACGCCGCTGTCCAGCCGGAGAAACTCCTCACAAAACAGAAAGGGGACCGGCTTGTCCCGTGGTCCTTGTGTCTGAGTGAGAGGGGTGGCCTGGCTTAGGGAGGCTCCCGTGTGGACCCCGTGGGCTCTCAGGGTGAAGGTGTCGGTGTGACTCCACTGGGGGCCATCACGGCGGGGCTGCTGAGTGGGGGTGAGGGGAGGTGACATCTTGGGGCCACCTGCCCTGCTGCGTCCCCAGCCAGCTGTGTCCTCCCCACATCCTGCCCCCCACCGGGAGTGGGGCACCCTGGGGTCCCTGCCACCCTAGCTGGCTCTGGGCCTGGATGCCGGACCTGCCTCCCTCTGGAAGAGGTGGACGTCACTCCTGCTGTGCCCTTGGGGTGCCAGGCAGGTGGTCCGGCCACCCGCACGGACTCTTCCATAGACAGTGCTAGTGGGTGAGAAGCCAGAGCCTCCTCGTCTGGCCTCCGGGACACCCCGTCCGCCCACCCAGAGCCAGCGCTGGGTGGGTGCCCCCTGGGGCCTTGGAGCGCCCAGGGCCTGACCGGGGCCGGTCGGAACGGGTCCTCCTGGGTCAGCCCAGGGAGGCTGCTGCACAGGAGTGGCCATGGGGGTCCTGGTGTGCCAGCGTGGTGGCTGCGGTAGACCCGCTTGGGGCCTCTGCTCCTGAACACCCCCAGAGCTGGGCTTGGTCAGCCTAGGCGGCCACCAAGAGCACAGGGACGCATAGCAACCTCCCCAGTGGAGGTGAGAGGAGGGCCCTGCGGGGGTCTCTCTGAGGCATGGCCCCAGCCCTGGGCCTCCCCTGGGGCTGAAGGTGTCCTCGCGCCTGTGTTCCTGGTGGTGCCGGAGACCAATGGCAGTGTGCCTTCTGAGGGCTGGCTTGTCACTCTGCCAAGAGGCCTGGAAGGGCGGCTCTCCCTGGGGTGCTTGGGGCCCCACCCCAAGAGCAGGTGGGCAGTGTGGCCGGACAGACAGCCAGGTCCCGGGCCCTGCTGGGCGGTCGTGTGGAGGATGGACTGGGCCGAGCCTGGAGTGGGGGAAAGAGCCTCTGCAGGCCCTGTGGGGCCCCCCAGGCACGGGACCCCTGCCCCAGGTGACCCCCGTGTTTGCCCGCAGCCCCTGCCCTGCAGCCTGGCGAAGCTGTAAGTAACCTGGAAGGATGGGCCGCGCGCCCCGTGTCGTGGGCCCCTGGGCTGGGGGCCGCCCGCTCTTCTCACTGTGCCTTTTCTCCTTTTCAAGGCTGCCATGATCCCCCCGCCGCACCCCTCAGGTATGTCAGCCCTCATCTCAAGGGGAAAATTTCAAAATTCTCCTGCCCTTGGGGTCGGCCACTCTTCAGGGATGCTGCAGGGCTGGGTTCCACGGGTGCCTGGCCCTGCGGCTCTCAGGACACGGGCCAGGTCCCCCCCAACCAACCATAGCTGTCCTGCCTTTCCCTTCTGTTCCTTTTGATTCCTGACATGTTGCGTCTTGGGAGAGAACGAGAACCCCTAGCACAGAGTCTGAGGCCACCCCGCAGCCTGCGCGTGGCCCTCACCAAGTCCCAGCTCTGCCTGGGTGGCGGGTGTGGGGAGCAGGCTGGCCCGGGCGTAGGGCCTTCCTGTGGTCCCTCCAGAGCGGCTGGTACTTCAGATGACTGGGTCAGACGTGCCCCACCTCAGATGATTCCAGGAGTAGGTGCACTGGTCAGCCCTGTTCCAGACGGCCCCATGAGCACAGAGAGGTTAGGGGACTGGCCCGTGGTCGCCAGCTACAGGCCATGGAGCAGGAGTCTCCTGGCCTCCACAGTCTGTGTTGTTGCTGCTGTGCGCAAGTCTGGAATGGGGACAGGGGAGGATGTCCCTCTTCTGTGGGGACAAGGCTACATCTGCTCTGTTCTAGAGAATACTTGTTTCTGATTTCTCTAACCCAGTACCATCTAGAAGCATCTCGAACTTCCCTGTGTCAGTCCCCCAGGGCCCCCGTAACGGTGATCACAGGCGGGGGCTTGAAACGACAGAAATGTACTCTCTCACAGTCCAGGAGGCCAGAAGGCAGAAGTCAAGGTGGGGGCTGGGGAGGCACTCCCTCCTGAGTCTCTAGGGGAGGGAACTTCCAGCCCCCAGTGGCTCTAGGCGTCCCTGGGCTGGTGACCACACCACTTGGCCCTGTCTTCATGGGGCTTCTCCCGGGTCTCCTCTCTCTGCTCCCTCTTGGGAGGACGCTGGTCACTGGATTTAGGGCCCCCCCCAGATAATCCAGGAGGATCTCATCTCAAGATCCTTAATCACATCTGCAAATCCCCTTTTTCCAAGTAAGGTCGCACCTGCAGCTTCTGGGGCTTCAGACATGGGTTCATTTGGGGGCCACCCTGTGTGCATCATGGGACCCGTTGCCTCTGTGTCTTGTGAGAGCAAGGCCCTCACCCAGGCTGGGGTGCTTGGGGCGCGGGGCACTGGTGTCTGCGATGAGTGAGGCCTTCATCAGACACTCTCCGAAGCAGCAGCAACTCCGCTCACGGGCTGGGGCTCAGTGGGACCTCCTCCCCTTGACTGCTCCACACCCCACCCCTAGGAGCTCCAGGGAGGGCCAGTACCCAGGGCCATCCTTCCCGTCCCGGCCCCACTCTGACCCTGCCTGTCTCTGACCCTGTTTCAGTGCGGAAGCCGCGTTATGTCAGGCGCGAGCGGCCCTTGGACGGGGACACAGGCTCCACGGCCATCTCCTCGGTGGAGGCCCGGGTCAGCAATGTCTGACCCGGGGACCCACCCACAGCTCCGCACACCGCCTTGGAGAGAAGCCAGCACACGAAGGGCAGGTGCTGCCTGGCGAGGCCTCGGGTCAGGTCTGGACACAGCCCCTGACTCAGCGTGGCCACCTCCCGGCAGTAGATGTGGCCACAAGTGCTTCCACCCCCCCGACGGCTGCTCAGTGTAATGGCCTGGGAGCCGCGTCCTTGAGCCAGGCTGGAGACTGCGGCAGGGGTCGGGGGTCTGGGTCCCTCGGGAGAGACCGCTCCCAGCGGTCAAGAGCCTATGAGGCCTGCTGGGCTGCTCCACGCCTGGCAAAGCTGGGGGCTCGGCCCCTCAGCCTTTCCAAGCCCACCATGGGCAGACATCCCCACACCACCAGGCCGGTTGGCCTCCTGGCATCCCCTCTCGGATGGTGTCCAGGCATGGGGAGTGTGATTTGAGCACTGGCCCCTCCAAGGCTGAGGCGCCCACCGGGCTGTCCTATAGCCAAGGCCCCACCCCCCCGACCCCCAAGCCCAAGACCACCACACACTTCCGGGAGCTGCAGAGGCGAGGTTCCTGGTTTCTTATTGACTTGTGTCAGTTTTAAGCAGAAAAGGCAGAGAGACTGCTTTCCTCCTCTGTCTCCTGCCCATGATCCGCTCTCCATGTTGGGCCCAGGAACGGGCTCCGGCCTGAACTGCTGGAGATCAAGGCCATGTCCACCCAGGGTGACATTCACCTGTGACTTCTGCCTGGGTAGCCTGGTCTCAAAGGACCTGTGGAGGGCCATGCTGGCCAGTGGTCCTGACCCAATTGCCCCCGGCCTGGAGATGCATTTCTGGCCCCGGCTGGTTACACATAGACAGGGGTCCCCAAGAGAAAGGAGCGTTTGTGGCCATCTCTCACACACTGGGCTCGGCACTGATCTTCCCACATTCTCATTCGGGACTGATCTCTGTCCTTCGACGCCTGGGCCGTGTCCCAGGGGCCCAAGGCAGGGCCTGCGCACTCAGCTCCTGTGTCCCTCCCGCACCGTGACGCCTGTCCCAAGCGTTTACTTGAACCACTGGTCCAGCGGCTGAGAGGGCGCACCAGCTTCCAATCAGTGTCAATAAACTATTCAGGGCTTTCTTCCCCCATTCTTCCTGCTCCCGAGTTCGTCTGCTCCTCAGCAAGCACGAAGCCCCACCTGCACTACCGTTGTGGGGGACTGTCAGCCAGGCTGACGTGGACTTCGCTTCCCCAGGAGCAGAGACGTGCTGTCCCGGGGACCGCCTCTCGTTCCTCGGTCCCCTCAGTCTGAAGAGAAGGGGACCCAGAAGGAGGTGGGGAGGCCAGCTAATGGTCCCCATCAGCTTCAGGGACCACGGGAAGGGCGAGGACACTCCACCGCCGATCTGTGCCCATCTGGGAGGCTGGGCTTGGGAGCCAGGGGAGAATGGGCAGGTCCCTTCAGATTCCCTCGTGTTCTGTAGTCCCTTGAGGTCAGGCTAGCCTGTCCCATGCTATGGATCCTTGTGGGGTGGGAAACAGACATGGGAAGAGATTCCCTTGTCCCTGTTCCCGCCTTTGCACCAAGCATGGCTGCTAATCCGGGGGACAAAACAGGAAATGCAGAGCCTTATCTGACCAGGAAAGCAGGTCCAGCCCATCAGGCCCTGGAGGCCCAGGCCGGGCACAGATGGGGGTCTCCCACCCCAGGTCTTCTCCATCTCCTGCCACCCGGAGGTACAGCCTGGAAACCCGGGGTTATTCCAACATCTCCCTGTCCCTTCCCCAGAGGACCCCCCCGCAGCCCCCAGCCTCAGCTTTGCCCCACCTTTGGCAGCAAAGACAACTCTGAGTTTGACCCTACAGCCCCCTTCAGCTTCACACTCAAGATGTGTTCCCCTGACCTTCAAGGCCTGCGGGCCTGGTCTTTGGGGCCCTTGGTCCGCCAGCGTCCCCCCTGCCACTGGGCATCCCCTGGGCCTGGGTGCCACTGTCCTTTAGGCCCCCAAACAGTGGGGAGTAGGGTCACTGGGATTCCAAGCCCCATCACCCTGATGGGTCCTGCACGTTCTCCCCTGGCTCCCAAGCCCAGCCTCCCAGATGGGCACAGATGGGCTAGAAAGCGTGTGAGCGGGTACAGTGGGGTGCAGGGCACCCGAGCCGGGAGCGGGCAGCTGGTAGGGTCAGGCACCTACACTAGGGCTCCTGCCCTTACCTGGACTCCAGCGCTCACGTAGGAGGCCAATGTGAGGCCCATTTCAGGGACCACTGGCTTTGGCTGAAACAGGCCGGTGGGGCATCTGTCCCCTTCTGAGCCCCCACCAGGTCAACTGCTGTGGGGCTCCCCCACACCGGAGGAGAGGCGCATGTATGGGGGATGGGCAGTTGGCACAGTCCTGGGCTCACGGCCTGCAGGCTGTTCATTCATTCGCTCAGCGCTAGGAGAAGCCCCGAGAGCTGGCCAGGTCAGACGTTAGCAAGAGGAAGACCTAGAGCTGCCTTAGCAGGTGGGTGCACAGAGGAGGACTGCGTGGGGCCTGGGAGGTGATGTAAGGGCAGAGGTCCTGGCCAGGAACCTGGGCACGAGACCCCAGAAGGTGCTGGCTTGCAGAGAGATGGGGAGGGGCCCCCAGTTGACCTCAGGGGACGTGGCCTTCAGCCCTGGGCGTGGCAGGGGCAGGACTGGCTGAGTCCACTGATGTCCCCCCAGGGCAATGCTGAGCCCGTCCGGAGCCCGGGGCCCAGTTTCTGCCCATGTGGGAATCGCAGCCTGCACGTGTCACAGTCTCTCCAGCATCACAGTCCCCAGCTGACGGGGGTGGGGCAGCAGAGCAGCAGACATGACCCAGCACTGGGCAAGCTCGGTGGGGGGAATCAGCCCTCACACCCCCAGGCCACCTGGGTCCCAGATGAGCTCGGAAGGGCTTCTTTGTGCAGTGGCCATTCTGTGTGTCCTGGACAGCACTTGGGGGTTGAAGCCCATTCTGTCCCAGTCCTGGGGTGGGGGGACCACAGCCAGAGTGGGCCTTGGGGCTACAGTCCTCTCACCTGGCCAAGCACAACCTCTGTGTCCAGCCCTTGGGGACTCAGGACCCCACATATCAGAGCCACAGGACAGGGGTGGGTGGATCACTGGGAACCTTGTGTTCTCCCCAGCCGAGTCCCAGGGCGGTGGGGCCACACACACAGTGGAAGCTACGCTCCCCTCACAGGTCTGTCTGCACCGGCATCTGAGCGGACACACTCGAGATGAGCCAGGTTAGCCCGGGGGTCCACTAACACGGAGGACATGTGCAGCACTTGCACCCACACGGCACAGCTGCCCACCCGCCGGGATGGGGGATGAGCAGGTGTCTGGGGACCAGATGGGTCACCAGGTCCTGAGCTTCCAAGACCCCAGTGCCCAGGGCTGGGTTCTGCTCCCGAGCGGGGAGGCCTGGCCGCCGCCCCAGATGGCACATTCCTCAGGTCTTCCCTTTGCCTCTGGGCGCTGACTTGTCCACCGAGGAGCTCAAGTGACCTCAGAACTTGAACATTCCCAGGAGCCCTCAAGGGTGTTCTCAGAGCAAAGGCACCGAGGACACTTCCTGGAGGCAGCATGTGACCCCGAGTCATGATTCCCTCGGGAACCAGAACCCCGTCATGCACAAGCCAGGCCTAGGCCACACAGCAGCTCCCCACACCGAGTCCCCAGCCCCCTCCTTGGGTCCCTCGCTCGTCTCCCCTGGCCAGCCAGCACACCTCATCGCAGGTGCTGGATCCCCTGGTGGGCTCGGCGCTGTTGGAACAGTGCACGCTTGCTGCGAGGGACACAAACCCACTACCAGTTAGACCCCAGCCCCAGCCCCACAGCCTCCACCCAGACCCCGCCTTAGCCCCAGGCCTTTGCATCTGCTGGGCCTGGGGTCTGCAGGGGTCCCACACTGACTGGAAGGAAGATGTCTGGCCTCCCTGGCCGTGCTGGGGGCTTCCTTGGGCTGAATTCATGTGTGTGACTGAGGGCACCCCCAGGAGACGTTCACCCAAAGCAAGTCCTGTGGCCAGTCTCATCCCTGATTCGTGCTCACCCCGACTCCGCCCCTTGGGGGTGCCCAGCCCTGACCTCTCACCCGCCTCCTGGTACCCAGAGCGGGGAGTTCCCTCATGCGGTGAGCACTGTGCTGGCACAGGCCGGAAGCAGGCTGTGTGGGTGAAGTGGGGGTGCTGCTCGGACGGGCCCTTCTGGGAGCCCCCGTAAGTGCTCAGGTGCCACCAGGACCTTGAACAGGGTTTGTGAGTGGATCTGTTTGTGGAATGGCTGCTCCAGCATCCCAGGGGCTGCCAGAGGAAGGGTTTACCCGGGCACCCAGCACCCCCAGACCTGCCCCAGCCTCACCCCAGGCTCGGATCTCTCACCTCTGACTTCCCGCCCTCTGCCGCCCAGCCTGCCGGGGCCAGGACAGCAGGCCAGCCAATCCCAGAGGCCCCAGGCCACACCCCTGGCTGGTATGACCCTGAGTGTATAAATACACCTGCCGGAAGCCGGCACCCTGAGAATTCACACCTGCTCCGGACGGTTCTCGGCCTCTGGAAGCGAGCACACGGCCCCTGAGCCCCGCTTGCCTGGGACACAGCAGAGGGCACACCTGCCAGAGCAGCGCCACCAGGAAGGACAGCGGCTGGCGGCCAGCCGGGAGGAGAGGGCAAAGCAGCTCCCGCGGGACAGGAGCGCTCAGAGCCTCATAGCCTGGTGGTGCCCAGCCTCGAGGACCATGCTCAGGCCTTGCTGACGACCCCCAGCCACCAGGTAAGGCCAGCTCAGCCAGCACTCGCCTCTCACTTGTACAGGCTCAGGGAGGGGGGCTTGCCTCTGAGGAGGGCTGAGACCTCAGTGCCAAGGGGCTGGTTGTGTGGGGCACACAGGCCTGGAGGGGTAGCCTGCGGTCCCCGCTGCTGACGATGTTGAGGTTGCTGCTTAGCCTGCGGCCACCACTGATCCCAAATGGGGTGACATGTCGTGTTGCAATGCTGGGAGCACTCGTGACATCACAGTGATGTCACTGTGACTCATGGTGGTCGGAGTCATCACACAGCAACACCCGAACCTATACAACACATCACCACAAGTCATCGCCCACCTGGACTGATCAGCAAGACAGGGTCAGGGTCACCTCTGGGGGGGTCCTTCTGGGCTTCATGGGGTCTGTCCACTGTCCTCCTTACCTGTCCTCCTCCGGGCAAGACCCATGTGGCAGGCCAAGAGGCAGGGCTGGACAGGGCCCTGGTCAGCAGGCAGGTCACCTGAGCCTTGCCAGGGAGACAGAGGCAGGGTCCCCCGTGGAAACGGAAAGCGCGTCAGGAGGACGGCAGCCGTGTCCCTGTGGGACCCTGCAGGGTGGTGGGTCATCCCAGAGGATGGCTCGGCTCCTCCACCTCTGGCTCCTCGGGCTGAGGTGTATTCTGGGTCCTGAGAGCCAGCAGAAAGCCCTCATCACCAGCCAGACAAGCTGGCCCTACAGGTTCGGGCGAGGCTGGGAAACAAACCCTCCTTGGGACACCGGCCCCCACCCCTGTCCAGGCCCTCCTCGACTTCCTGCAGCCGGCCAGCTCACCCTGGCCCCCAGACAGAGTCCTGACCCTCAGCCAGCCAGGCGCGGCACCCCACCCTCCTACAGTGGCCCGAGAACTGGGTGTGTATCAACCACGTCAGGTGCCTGTGCTGGGATCCGTGTTCAAACCCACTTCATTCAACCCAGAGCCACCCTCCTCCAGGTCCCGCTGACCCCTTGGCAAGGTGACCCTGGCTGAGTCGTCCCACTCTCCGAGCTGCCGTTTTTGTACTGTGGCTGTTGTGTATCCCGTGACTGGCACAGCTGGCAGAGCCCAGAGATCAGCAGCAACTATCGTGGGCCATGCCATCCACTGTATTTATGCCCGGGTGGCACTGCTAGGTAGGACAGGCTCAGCAGGAGGTGTCCACTGAGCGGTCAGCATGACACCCTTGTGCACGTGGCCTCCAGTCTAAGACCCTTGGCCAGGCTTGGAGCCTCCCCTCGCCCCAGGACACCCACCCCTGTCTTGGCATGAGAGGAGGTGAGGGAGGGCAGGGTTACAACTTGAGCAGAAAGACCCTGAAGCTGGTACAGGAGGACTTTCTGGAGGTGCCCGCAGGTGGGCAGTGTCCTAGAGAGCTCTGTGGCTGGTGCTGCGCAAGAGACACACAGAGCGAGAGCAGACTGTGCGGCAAACGGGCGGCCTGCGGTCACTCACGGTGCTCTCCGTCTGTCCCCCAGCTCAGTCATGTCATCGGGCCAGCGAGTGTGGCATACAGCCGTGCCCGCCCTTGGTCGGACCAGCCCCATGGCCCCTGTGCCCAGGTCCCCCAGCACCCCTGGCTCGGAGAAGGCGGCCTCCCCGCTGGAGTGCTCCATCTGCTTCTCGGGGTACGACAACATCTTTAAGACGCCCAAGGAGCTCTCCTGCACACACGTCTTCTGCCTGGAGTGCCTGGCACGGCTGGCGGCCGCCCAGCCCACAGGCCGTCCCGGCGGCGAGGCTGTGCCCTGCCCCTTCTGCCGGCAGCCCACGGCTATGCCGGCGGCCGGGGCCCCCGCGCTGCGCACCAGCCGCCAGCTGCAGGCCAGGATGGCGGCACACCTGCGGCGGGAGGAGCCCGTGTGGCTGGAGGGCACCAAGCTCTGCTGCCACCCGCCGCCCACCACCCCCGGCCGCCCGGCGCCCGGCTTCGTGTGCGTGGACGTGGGCCTGAGCAAGCCCGCGGAACCTGCTGTGCCCCAGCCCGCCCCGCGTCCTGCCCGCCCCCGGGGCCGGCTGGCCCGCTGCTGGGCGCGCTGCAGGGACTGGAGGCGGGTGGCACTGGTCACTGCCCTGCTGCTGGTGCTCTTCTGTGTGGTGCTCTGGCCCGTGCAGTGCGCGCTCAAGACCGGGAACTTGCACTGCCTCCCCCGGCCGCCTGCCACCGCCGCCTTCTCTCCTGGACCCCTGGCCGACAACTAGGCTCGGCCGCCCTGTCCCCAGCTCCGGCTGTGGGTCCCCCGCCCTCGGCTGTGGTCCCAGGTGCAGCAGCTGTTGGGAGCCAGTGCCCCAGAGAGGCCCCAAGGTCTCCGAGGACCCCATACCCATTTGGCTCACCGCCCCCCTATGCTGTGTGGCTCGATCCGGATGGACCGACAAAGGGGTCCCCGAAGCTCCCAGGAATCACAGGCCCCCCTGGGCGCCAGAGACCACCTTCCTACCCCAACCCAGACAGCCGGCCTTAATGACGGCTCCTCACACACCGTGAATCACCGGCACTTGCGGCCCTTTGCTGAGGGAGGGTGCTCACCGTTTCTGTTCTGTTTTCACATTTCACCCACAGCTCCTTCCCCAGACCCCTTCCCCAGGCAGGGCTGGCCCCTTCCATTGGGTGAGGGAGCTAATCCTGCCCTCTGACCAGGGGGACCCAGTCCTCCAGGGCCCATCCAGAACTGTACATTTTTAAATAAATTATTTTGTATCCACATTTGGTAAGGGGTCCTCACTCTGTGTGCCCTCCTCCCCACGCCACTGAGCCTCTCCCTCCAGAAAAGCACGGTCTGCCCCTGTCTCAGAGAGCTGTAATGTAGAGGACACGCCCACTGGTTTGAAATCCCGGCAGCCCCTAGGGCAGAGAGCCTCCAGGTTCTAGGGTGTCCAACTCCTGTCCCCTGTGGGCTGTGGATAGGCTGGAGCAGTCCTGCCCCCTCCCCCAGAACTCCGAGGCCCTCCCGGAAGATGGGCACCTGGGGCAGGGTGGGATGGGCGGGAAGGGACAGGGCCTTGGCACGGTCCAGACCCCTCCTCCAACACTCCCCAGCTGGTCACCCCACCCCAAGAAGTCAGGACTCCTCAGACCTGCCGAGAGTCCTGACAAGAGGGCCACGGAACCCCGGGACCCACTGCCTGCAAACCAAGGCCTAAGGATGCACAGAAGCAGAAGGGGTGACCACCAGAGTGTCCTCCAGCAGACCCTCCAGGGGCCAAGTACAGGGGCTGGAGGGATGGGCAGGAGTCCCTGTCAACCCCCACTGCCATCCCTGGTGGCTTCTACTCTCGCCGCCCCCCGCCCCCACTCCTGCACCACCAATTAGCACGGCGAAGGGAGGCCAGGCTGGTTCTGGCTCCCCAGGCCGCAGCCTCCTTTCCCCTGACCGGGAAGCCCAGTACTTCCTGCTCCAACCAGCTGGGCCTCTGGCTAGGCTGGGCTGGGGAGGCTGCCCAGGGAGACCCCCGGGGGGGGGAAGCTGGGTCCCAGACCCTAACAAAGACACAGAACTGAGACCAAGTCATTTTACTGAGGGTACCAAAAAGCCACACGGCCATCTGTGATGGGAGGAGCACGACAACACGCCAGAGACGTCACAGCGGTCACACACCAGTCATGCACGCATGTGAGCCTCACCGGGGCACACGAGGTCGCACACGTGCTCACAGGAGCATCTCACGTACACCCGCGCAGTAGCTCTGAAGCGGAGGTGAGTGCTGAGGGCGAGGGTAGGGGCAGGCAAACCCTGATGATGGCCCCAGTCAGGTCAAGCACAGACTGGCCACTCATGACAAACATGTGGCACACACGGGGTCACACGTGGTCACCGTGCGGTGCAGGCGGTGACTGGTGGCCTCCCACACCGAGAGACACACCACAGCCCTGAGGCCCTCCCGCTCCTCCTTCACCTGGCTGCCCCGGAAAGGGCAAAAAGGGCAAGGCGCTCGGGTCTCCCCACTGCCCCTCCCCATTTCTAGGCGTCCAGGCCACGTTCGGGTGGGTCTGAGGGCTGGGGGAGACGCGGGGAGAAGCTGCCCTAAACATAGTCCTTCCGAGGAGCGCCCCGGCCCGGCGGGCCCCCCCATCCCGCGCGGCTCCGGCCCCCACCGGGGCACGCGCACGCGGGCACCCTCACCGCGCCGGGCTCCGCAGGTTCTCGTACTCGCCGCCGGTCGCCTCTGGGATCCTGCGGGCGGAGACAGGGCTCGGTCGGCGCCCTCGCGGGATCCCGTCCCGCGTGCCCCCTCCCCCCCGGGACCCCGGCCCGGCCCGCTCCCCGACGACCCCACTCACGCCGCCGGCGCCCGAGACGACACGGGGGCAGCGTTGCGGCCGGGGTCCGCCGACCCGAGGCCCACGTTCAGGTAGTAGGGCTCCTCCGGCGGCCGGCGCTGGGACGAGGGGCCGTCGGTCACCCGGGGGTGTCGCCGCAGCCCCCCACGCCCGCTCCACTTCGCCGTCGGCCCCGCCCGGCCCCGCCGGGCCCCGCCCCCACCTGCTCGCGCAGGCGCAGCTGCTCGGCCTGGATGTGCCGCTGCAGCGCCAGGTGCACGAACTCGTACTGCGCCTCGGTCTGCACCATCCCCGAGCGCTGCCGCCGCACCAGCTGGATGGTCCTGGGCACGTCGATGTCGCAGTGCAGACCTGGGCAAGGACGCGCTCAGGGCCGGGAGCACGGGGCGGAGCTAGCGCGGGCGGGGGGCCGGGACACGGGCCGGTGCCAGGCGCGAGGGGCGGGGCCGAGGCACGGGGAGGGGCCAGGTGCGAGGGGCGGGACCAGAAGCTTAGGGCGGGGCCGGGGCTAGGCGCGAGGGGCGGGGCGGGGCCGGGGCACGGGGTGGGGCTAGGCTCGAGGGGCGGGGCCGGGGCGGCTCACCCTGCCTGCGGATGAGGTCCACCAGGATGTCAATCACGACGATGGTGCCAGTGCGTCCGATGCCGGCGCAGTGGGGACCGACCTGGGGCCTGTGGCTAGTTTACGGGAGGAGGCCGTGGCCTGCCCCGGGTTGCACCTGCCCTGCCCGCCTACCCCGTCTCCGGTCGCACCTGCAGTGCACCACCATGGGTCCAGCCCCCGGCATGCTGCTCTGGGCCCTGTTCACCTCATCCAGGAAGCCGAGGACGCCGGAGGGCTCGGCCGGGACCCCGTGGTCTGGCCAGCTGAAGTACTGGTAGTGCTTCACTGTGCGCCGCGGCTCCTCCTGGGCGGGGAGGGCGGGTGAGCTTCCCCCGGGCCAGTCTGGGCAGTTCCCAGGTGGGGCCAGGCCGCAGGGCCAGAGTGGAGCCACTGTGAGCCCCAGGGTGAGAGGGGCACAAGGCAGGACCGGGAAGGAGGCAGGCAGGGTTTGCCAGGAGTGACCAGCAGGGTCAAGGCCGAGCAGAGGGGATGGGAGAGAAATGTGGGATTCTGAGGTTGGAGGCTCTAGGACAGCCCCAGGCTCAGGCCCCTGGGAAAAGGAAGGGGGAGCAGTGGGTGAAGGAGCGGACCATGACCTCTATTTGAGAAGAGCCAAGTGTGAGGGGCCTGCAGGGCCCCCAGGTGGTTAGACATGAGGGACAGGGTGGGTGTGGGGGTCGGGAAGGAATCTGTTGCTGCCACAGAGACAGGTACCACCGCCCCTTGACTCTACTGAGGTGCCTCAGGGAGAGACCAGGGAGGGAGGGACCATGTGGGTGTGAGGCCACCCTGGGGCCAGGCAACTGGGATGGGGGACCTAGGGTTGAGAATGGGACCTGCCTGTGAGCACTGCCCAGCAGAGCCCTGGTAGGGCCTGTGCCCACTGGGTTCAGGGACATGAATGCAGTCGGCCAGGGGGATTGGGTGGAGCAACGTTGGGGTGGGGAGGGGGGTCTGCAGCTCAGACCTGGGGACTTCTGACTACTGTGACTCTGGCCCCTCATGTCTTGTGGCTTTCTGGGCTCACCTGATCTGGCCGCCACACCTGTAGTTCCCATAAGCAGTAGCCCTGGGCTTGGTACTCTGCCAAGTTGAAAATACGCACACGGCCATATTCTTGGCTGCCCTGCAGCTGGGGCCAGTACCGGAAGCATTTGTTCCGCGGGGGGGGGGTGCATCACATCAGCTGTGCTGCAGGACCGCCAGCACCTGTGCCTGGTGCCCCGGTGCTGCACATGCACACACAGGGGCTTTCCAGAGCCCCCCTCACAACATACATGCCCACATACTCCCCCCAGCATCCCAAAGGCTGAAGGAGAAGCGAGGCTGGGCCAGCCACCAGCACAGGTCTACATGAGCACATGGTGGGGAGGGGGCTGTCAAGCCCGAACTCCTACCCGGCCTCGCTCCACCTCCCTCGTGGCCATGACAATGACCCGCGTGTTCTCCTGGTGCACCATTGCCCAGAAGGCAGCCACTGTGCTTTGCAGACAGCCCTGGGTGGCGATGTACACCTTGCCCGGTCCGTGACCTGGCTTCTCCGGATCGCTCTGTAAGGGTGGGTGTGCCCACAGTTTCCAGGATTTAAAGTGCCAGAGGACAGTGCACGTCTATGCAAATGACGTGCAAAGCAGCACCAACTGGCTCACGCGTGGCCCCTCCTGCCCTAGGCTAGAGGGGAGCCGGGGACCAGGATTTAGTCCAGCCCACTCTGAGGACACACTGGAAACCGACACAGCCCCTCTCTCCCAACACTGTCTAGTGTCCTGCCTGGGTCCACGGATCATGGGCACCTGGATCTTCTTGGGCCTGCCATTGGGAGCGCCAGGTTCGTAAGAGGGGGAGAGAGTGACCGGTGTGTGGCCGGACACGGCTCAAGTTGTCCTATCGGAGCCAGGCTAGGCCATGCGTGCAGCTGGCCTCTCGCACACCCACCCTGATGTAGTTGGCGTTGATGTAGTCGGCTCCAGGCACGGTGTCGTCCACATCACACAGAGTGACACGCGTGGTATCAACTGGGAAGGGAAAGCTGCTGCTCAGGTCTCCAGGGGAGATGGAGGGAAGAAGGGACCTCACCTACCTCTTTGCCTGTGGACCCCGGGGTGAGCAAGATGAGGGAGGAAGGGGCCCTGAATGCGAAAAGGAAAAGTCACACCAGCGGAGGGGCACAACCCCCTGCCTCCACCTCCCTGGGGCCCCTGCTTGCCAGATGGGCCCCACACGGGACAGAGCCCTGGCTCCCCAGCACGGCCCCCTGCCTGGCCCTCACAGGGAAGGATGTTCTTGTAGCGATTCTTGGGCTTGTTCTCCAGCCGCTGCCCCTCCTCCCGGGGGTACAGGAGCCGACATTCCTGCTGCTGCAGCATCTGGTTGGGCGAGGTGGCACGGAAGCGTCAGCCTGTTGTCCCACCCTTCCCCAGAGCCTTTGGTGACCATCCTTCCTCCCCTAAGCCTCACCCCTCTGCTGGCCCTCGCCCAAGCCCCAAAGGATGGGAGTCTATGGCGTGGGGGGCGGGCACCTCAAATTCTTCCCAGAAGCCCTGCTTGGCCTTCCCGCGGGCACCAGTGGGCCCGCTGAGCTCTTGCACTCGGCTCTCAATGCTCGCGGCGTTGATCCTCGCTGCTTTGAGGGGCCGGCCGGGAGAGCGCTGCGTCCACACTTAGCAGGGTCTGGCGGACCCCAGGGGCAGACCCCACAGTTTCCCTGAGGCCACCCTGCCCCAGCACTGCCTAGCGCCCTCTTCCCTGGTCCTGTTGTCCCTTGGGCCTTCCCCACCCCAGGGACAAAGTTCACTCTGGATCCCGAGGGTCACGTGCCTCCGGGCGTTCCTGCTTGAGCGGCACTACGGTCCGGACCTCTCCGGCCTCGGGCTCCTCCTGTAGCGCTCCAGCAGGTCAGCGAGGGAGTCGAACTCTTGCCCTCCTCCCACGTCGTACTTCCCATCTGAATGCGGGGACCGCAGTGTGGGGCCTGGCCACTGCCCACCCCCTCCCCCAGCCACACCCCTGTCCCTGCTGCCACGCCTCACCCAGAAGTGGATCGAGATGTGTGTGACCTGCGGCTGGAGGTGGGCCTTCTCAGGCCTCGGTGTGAGCACGGACAGCACGAAGCCCCCAGGCTTGCCCTGACTTTCCTGCACCAGGAAGGTGCCCGGACGGCCTTTTTCCATCAGCAGCTGCTCGGCCTCCTTGCCAGACAGGTGTCCGTGGTACCACCTGGCCCAGGGTGGTGGGGGTCGGGAGGGGCCCTGGTGAGACTGGGGGCTGTGGCCAGGCTAGGTGAGGGGACGCAAATCCACATGCAGCCGGAAGCCTCCAAGACCAGACACAGACACAGACACAGACACAGACAGAGGGAGACAGACGGACCCACCCAGATCTCAAGGGCCCAGGCCGTACCCTCGCTCAGCCCAGCCTCGGCGAGCCCTGCCCAGCTCTCTGACTCTCCCCTACCCAGGAGCAGGCAGGCCAGAGCCAAGCCAGGTGAGCCCGGCAGGGCCGAGGGCGGCCACCAGGTGGCAGTCTGGTCCCCAGCAAGGAGGGACGGGCCACCTCAGACCAGCTCCCCGACCCCGCTCTGGCAGATGCGGCTTCTTCAGGTCTCAGCAGTGCACTAGGAAGGCTGAGGCTGGAGGGCACTGCTCGTCGGAGTCACCAGACAGGAGGACGGGCATCACACTGGCCGCAGGGCTCCAGCGGCACAACTTCATCCCTGTGGCCAGTGCCGCAGACCTAGAGGACCTAGAGGACCTAGAGGAACCTAGAGGAAGTGCCCCGGACCTAGAGACCCTGGGGAGGGGGGCCCGCAGGACACTCCCTCAGCTTGGCCGCAGCTGTGCCTGAGCCTGACCCTGGCCACGGAGGGCAAAGGAAACGCGGAGGCCATGCCCTACAGACACAGACACTCACATGCCCACTCGCATGGACAGTCGCACACGTGGAGCTGCCGCTCACCGATCAGAGACAGGGTCCTGGTAGCCCAGTGGCTGCCGGAGCTCTACGGGGGCCCCGCTGCGCTCACGGAGCAGCCCCCCACGCTGGCCTGTGTAGTGGTGCACCAGCTCGCCCAGAGCAGCGAACTTCTCCACTCCGTAGAGATCGTAGTAGTCGCCCGTGTTCTGGACATTGATGTGGGCTACCTCACTGTGGCGCCTACTGCCGTGGGGGGGCAGGTGCACTAGTCACTGTCGTGGGGGGGCAGGTGCACTAGTCACTGTCGTGGGGGGGGCAGTTGCACTAGTCACTGTCGTGTGGGGGGGCAGGTGCACTAGTCACTG